AAGGGTAACATCATCGTCAACCACTAACGGCAAAGACATACAAACTACCTAAAGCGCGGGAAAACGCACGTGACAAAGTTGCGATTTGTTTTAATTTTGTATCTCATTGGACCAGAGGGTTGCGTGAGTTTTATGGACCAATCAAAGACTGTTCACAAGCAAAACTAATGCATTAATGGATTACTTTAGACCCTCTATTGAGACCCGCGTTATTAATTTCTAACTATTACGCTGTATAACTAGGGCTTTGCTTTCCTTCTAAAACAAAGGCTCTCTTCACCTTAAAGAATACATTATGAACCGAAACACAGTGAGACTTAAGAACTCTCTAAGCTGTGGGACATTGTCTTGATACATCACCAAATTCTCCAGAACCATCAGTTGAGACATCTTTCATATATCTGAAGTAACAGTTAAAATAACAGAACAATTTTGTACGTTTACAGAAACAGAAGTTTCCGTGACCCGCGTAAAAAACCTTTAACAAGGAGAAATAAACAAAATTAAAGAAAACCGCGTAGATATAAAACATCCAAGGAAGAGAACCTAAATGGGGTTCCTTACAATTTAACAAAAATACTTACAAGAAACAAATTAGTGCAATTTATCACACTACTGCTGTTACTTTTCTTTTGCAGCTGCTGAAATCACCGCGACGTTTCTTTTGCGGCTGCTGAAATCACCGCGACTTTTCTTTCGCATCTTCTCCATTTTCCTCTTCTTTTTTTTCTTTATTTCCATCTTCCTCTTGATCTCTCTTATTTTCATCATTTTCTTTGATCCCTTCCTTTATCTCTTGCGGTTTTTCGCTCTCTTCTGCATCTCTTTTTTCCTTTCTGTCGTCTTTGTTTTTCTCGTCACCTTTGTCACTAACTTTCCTGTGATAGAAAAGGAGATGCATTCCTATTGAATGTCACAAAAGCAAAACCAAACCACAACCGCCAATCAGAACAAAGGTACATTTAAAAAGAGCTAAGAAACTTAACGTTAACACGACAATGCTGCCTGAGGCGCGGGAGAATGCTAAGGGTGGCGCGAGTTCGCTGCACCAATCAGACAGCGAATCTAAAACCAGTGAAATACAGCTTTAATCTTAACACGCCAATTAAAACGAATTTTAAATAGTAAAACAATCTAATTATAAGTTACCTTTAAACTGTCACTACAAAAAGAAATATTATCAAATCATCACGTGGAGCATGGTTTAAAATTTTTTAAACGCCCTTAAAAAGATAAGTTTGAGCTCAGTCATGTTCCCTTAATGTATGACCTTGTGTGTTATTCTCTTTACCCACAAGACCCTTTCAACACTGCTCATTCTGCAGGACGCCTGTTCTATGAACTTTGTAATGGCCTTGCTCCCCATAAAGTTCTCAGAAGCTCAGAGGTAGAGCATTGCATCAAGGAATCCAAAGATCTAATCGTAACCCAAATCTTTTTTTACTTCACGCTCATAACAAAACGTCTTGCACTTTTTAAAAGGTATGGGACCAAGTTGCTAATTTACCCTTGATTCTCCGCGGCCTTTGTGGGACACGGTTCAACATTACACTGCTCAGACTCCATCGCCGGACCCAGTCTCTCACAGCTCTGACCTCCGTTATCTGGCGCAGGGTTGGTACATTCACGTGTCCTTTGGCGAACACCTCCTCCGCATGTTACCGTACATTTACCAAATTCGGTCCATTCTGAATAACTGCCATCCACTGGAAAAAAATAGAGCTTGCTTAAACACCAACACCTATTCAGTACTAGGTCATTTCCCCATAGAAAAGTGTGTGTGTGTGTGTACGGGGGGGAGGGGTTTGGTGGGAAAATAACCAAACCCTTGAAAGAGACAAATTTGGGCGTGTTAGAAACATTTGAATTTAGAAGTAACATTATAAAACAAGCAGACACACTAGTAGTGAGAAAAGAATTCAAAGTTAGGGATTTTCAGTCTAATAGACTAGTGGACATGGTATAAAAAATGGCTTGTCCATTGAACTCTGGACTGGAAGTTATTTGTTGAAACCCTCTCCAGGCCTCTCCTTGAGCTACACACTCTACTCTCTCATAGCCTCTCTCCACTGAGAAGTGCAAATAAGAACCAGTGGTCTGTTAGAGAACCTTAGAGAAAAGCTGGGTAAGGAAGTGACCTACAGAGAGGTAACATCCAATTCATGGGCATTACCAATACTAGTAGTACCCTCCTGCTACACAAACCCAAATAAACTCTTGCAGTGCAGGCCTTATGACTTGTGAACAGACTTTATTCTCTTTAGCTTCAAGAGTAGTAGATCAATGCAGTAGGTTGATGTTTAGTGGTTGGTTGAAAGCGTTTCCGCATGCCAGTCTTAAATTTGTCCTGAGTTCAATTTTTTGGTTTTGGTTAAATGCACAAGTGTGACATGATCTAAGATAGCAACAGAAAAACTGAGAAAAAGAAACTGTAAACTAAGGGATAACAATGTACCTGGCAAACATAAAGGACCATCTGAAACATCATCAATGCCACTCACACTCACCTGGACAAGATTGTTCATTACATGCCTCTGTTTCCACACTTGGCCCCAGATCTTGTTCCTCACATGTTTTCCCACCAAACTGTGGTTCAGGACTGTTACACTGACGATTCCTCTCCCGCATGCCACCCCCACAAGTCACTGAGCATTCACCAAAGTCACTCCATTTCCCATAACCTCCATTTACTACAAAGATACATTAATTCTATTAATTCATTACTTTCCTTTTACACTTCTATATGGAAAAAGACACCATGAAAATTATAAAGTAGATAAAGAGGGTAAGTTTTCAGAGAGACTTTGGTGCTGCATCAGTGGGGGAGTATAACAAGATAATTTAGTTTTATCAAACAAGTTGACAATGCAAATTGGCCACTGCAAAGAAATTGCAAGCTGATGTTTCAAGTATTTACCCTTTGTCAGAGCGAAATACTTAATCTGATTTGTCTGAGGACACATGTGCAGTGAACTCAGCCAGGAATTGAACCTCACACTCAGCTTGAACTCAGCTTGGATTCTACCAAACATAGGTTACCTTGTCTCACAAAATTCATCAGGAAACCTATGCTTTCAGAGTTGAGTCATTCAAAACTGTCTTTACACATCAGTCATGTTCACTTTTATGAGGCAAATAGACAAAGCAAAGAACAAAGCCTGAATGCCTGTGTCAAATGTCAGATCATCATGATTGTACTCGAATCTCACCTGGACATGTCCCCTTGTTACACACCCTTGACTCAACATCTGATCCAAGTTCCAATTTTTCACAACTTAACCCACCAAATTTGGGTTCTGGGTTATCACACTGGCGTCTCCGTTGCTGAACACCTTCCCCACACGTCACTGAACATTCACCAAAATCTGACCAGGGGCCATAGGCACCATCAACTGTACAATGTACACATAATTTACTTATAATAAATTAAATTTTGGTGGGGTCAAAAACCAAATCAGGCAGGTGACTAGGTTTCAGTTTGATGGATTAGGCCTCAAAAGTAAAAACCTTTATGAAAAAGGAACAAACCCAGTTAAACCCTAAAGTAAAGTACAGAGGAGAACTGTAGAATCCAGGGAAAATATAAGGGCACAAAGACAAGTAACATGCAATACCAAGAAATATTCATTTGCCCCTAAGTGACCACATATCTAATGGACCACATTACTGCAGAGATTTCAAACAAAGGCTGGAAACCTCTTGTTTTCAGAGATCTTTTTCTGGCCTCCCATTTTCATTCAGTTTTCTTCTCCTTTTGTAAGTTTCCTCAAATAAAAATAATACTTTCCTTGACTTTGCAAGAGATTTGCATTTATGTGTGGTGTTGTGTGGTTTTGGATGTCATTCTGGTCATCCCCTAATCAAAAATTTCAACATCTGAAAGTGTCCTTTAATATTACATTTCCCTTGAAAGCAAATATTATCATCAAAAATGTCAAAGGAACCAGTGAGCCTGGGCTTTCACTATGTGATTTAAAATCTATTAGGTCATTCAAGATAAAATTTCCTCTGACTTTGATTTCAAAATGAAGGAAATGGCATCTTGGAAGCCTATGTTTTCAAAATATATTCAGATGAAGCATGCCCCAAGACCAGTGTTGAGGCTAATGCTTTTGTTGTTCTTGGTCTCATCTTTACCGATCTCGAAACCTCTCGCTTTTATTTCAAAAGGGTTGGAATCTCTCTTAGTAGCAGGTGAATGCTGTCACCACTGCATCATCCATACTCCCATAAAATAATTGGATTCTTCATAATTCACCTGTCTAAATATCAGGTTTGTTTTCTCAGACAATCTAACAACACAATAAAGCAGCCTAAAACTTTATCATACCTGGACAAGGGTTCATGTTACACATGAAAGTTTGCTTGTCTTCTCCAAGAACAGAGCAGTTTTTACCCCCAAACTGTGGTTCAGGATTGTTGCATGACCGTGTTCTGAAACGCACCCCTGTTCCACAGGACTTAGTGCACCTAGAGAATACTGTCCAATGTGAGTACCCTCCATCCTCTGCAAAAAGTTTAAAAGAGAAATTGTTTTTTACAATATCAAAAGCTAGTATAATTGTAATACATCCTCTACTAACTCAACAACACTGATGCTTGAATTGTTTTACCATAATAACTTGTATAATGCTATACAGCAAGAATGCTTTTTTGATTGAGTATTGCAAAAACAAGACCAAATTTATTACAATGACCAACAGAGGAAAGGAAATGCTCTTAAGAACCAATGAGAACTCCAAGTAAAACTAAGCAAACTGCTCACGAACACAAAAGATGTCACATATTTTGACATAACACTTTTTAAAAGATATGAAGTTTTAGCTAATTAAATTAAATATACCTGTCAACCCTTTAACTCCCATGAAGGACCAAGAAAGAATTTCTCTTTAAAAATGAATATAGATAACATATCAAGAAAACAGGAAATGGGAATAAAGGGAAATATCAATAGAAGATTACTAGTTGACTCGATTTTAGATTATTTGAAGTAACATCACAAGAGTTATAAAGCAGACAGTAAGGAGAATGACTAAATAACTGTAATTTTGAGAGTGAGAGGATTAAATTTTAGTTGAAACTGGCTGTTATCTCAATATGAGTAATCAAAGAACTGTGTAACCCTCCTAGCGGGACTAAAGCAATGTTTAGGACAAAGGTAGGCATCCTTATCAAAAAATTACTAATTAACTAATACTTTCACAAATACACAACTCTTACATGATATGTATAAATTAAAAATCAAATAATACTCCAAACCCAAAAAGGTGGAGATTGTGATGTAAAACTTGAATCTTAACAGTGGAAAGTTTATATTGGCAAGGATATTAACAGATTCTAAGTGAAAGAAAGTAAAACTTTAAAGTAAGTGAGTAAAGCATCAGAGTGCTAATCACCAAGAATCTTATTAAGGCACCCTTGAACAAAAGGCAAAGGATGCACCTCCACCCAGAGGGCTGCCTGGCAAACTTCTTGGCTGGCAGACCAAGAGCATTGAGGATGTCACGGAAGTGCAGCATAAAGCTAGAAGAAGTGAAGACCTTATAGCTGAGGGAAATAGGTTCCTACCATATGAAAGGCTGGGAAGGCAAAAAGGGACTTAAGGAAGGACAAGGCCCACCGGGCGGCTGAGACTGGACAGAGGCGGGAACTGGTTTAAGGTATAAGGGGAGTTGTACCACTCATTTTTAGAACTGAATGATTTTGCTCCCCCTGATAGTCAGAAGAGCCCCTGCTGAAATCTATAAATCTGAGCGGGAATTTGCCATGAGGGGTCACCAGAGTGTGCAGCACTTGCTACTAAATGGCTTTTCCAAAACATCCCAAAAAAGGAGACTAAACAGATTACCTAGAAACAAGCATCAAAGATCAAAGCCAGAGTGCAAATTATGCTTGACATAAAAATGGCTTTTGAGAATGCAAATGAGGTATATGTATTATGCACCAACAAGCTAAGAAATAGAGCAATTGATCTCAACAATAATTCACCAAAGTAGAAGTAAATATCCACCACTTTCACCATCACTTAGGTGAATAATTGCCTTAGTAAGTTGTAGATACCACTCAGAAACCAAAAAAAAATTCATTTCTGTCAATATACCATAAAATGGTTGGAAATTAAATTTTTGATCTGCAATTATTTCTCTTCGGCTGCTCAGCGTTGAATTGAGAAAGCCACTATTCATCTGTGTGGTGTGTACTACTCAACAGTTACTCTGCCTTTTGGGAAAAAAAATTGCCCTCGGCATTAAATACTGATGTATACGAAAAGTAGTCGTTATTGCTCAGTATTCTTAATAGATGCCATATATCATGTCATTCCTTCTAATTTAAAATTAAGTGTAAGGGTATTGGTCCTTTCGATAGTGTATTGCAAGCAATAATTGAATAATATGAACCAGAGTAAATGAAAAATTTAGAGCAGCAACTTTAAAGAATATGAGCGTGGTAATAGAGTCTAAGAGCTATGGTTGACAGATCTCATGAGTGTATAACAGCAAGAGTGGTAAAAAAAAAAAGGGAAAAAAAAGATAAAATAATGTTAAATTAAATTTTAAAGCCAACTCTATTACCCAACAGGGAAGTCTTTAACGACGTCAACAATTTGACGACGTCTTAAAAATACAAACACAGCAAAGAATTATCCCTACCTCTTAAAATATAACGCACAAAGTTGTGAGAAACATAAAATATGGCTGACACTAGAGCCACAATTGTCAAAGCTTGCAAGACACGTACATTGCGAGTCATCGTGCGGTCGTATTTTTCCGGGTATTAACTTATATTTAACATATATGCCGCCAAACGTATGATTTGTGCTTTTGTTCGAGAGCAAGCGGTTACATTGTCACTGAATCCATTATTGCTTACCTCATCTGCAACGTGGTCAAAACTTCCTATGATTAATGTGACTTCGTTTACGTTCCCCAAACAACCAAGGCATCGAGAGAAAAATTCCGCGCAGAGGGTCAGCAACACAGATTGTCAGTGTATTCTTACACTTACAGCCAACTTGTTTATACGTATTGCCACTGACAAACTGCTGGCTCAGAATTAGAGGGTCATAACAAAACTGGTCACGCCATCACGCTATCACGCTATCACGCTATCATAGGATAAGAATATTAATTGTTAGACGGCATATTCTTTGTTTTTGTGTAGAGAGTGTGCGAAGCCGTAAACGCTTCTCCGAAAGCCGTCCATATTTTATTCCAAAAGGATGTCAATGAAAGCTCTGTATGTTGAAGAGTTCGGCGACTCGTCGAAGCTAAAGTATGGTGAGGTTCCCAAGCCAGAACCCGCAGAAGGAGAGGTAAAGAAGCTCAAATCCATTTCTTCCCACCCTTGAACTGTTTCAGCGTTTGCACCTACTTTCATGTGTGGTACTGATGGATAATTTCGGGGTCTTCAATTTTTAATGACCATGTAATTAGAGCTAACATAATTTTGTTGGAAGGGATCAGCTTTCACGACAAACCTGATCTATAGAGGATTCTCAAAAAGCAAAACATACTAAGCTAAGCAGAGGGAGCCCATTAATTAGCAAGATAATGATGATGACAGTGCAAGTTTATTGTTTATCTACCCTTCTCTATTTGGATGAGTTATCGCATATCTGATTATGTCAAAGTCTGCAGTTACAAACCACCCCGTTCACATGCTATAATCTCACAAGATGCTTTGATAAAAATGGATGAGAGAATTTCTTATATAACCAAAAACTTTCAATGAAGTGCGGGATTGCATAAATTTCATTTAGTTTGTAACAGCTAGAGAACGAGGCTTTACAAAAATTTTTTGCATTGTCATTACTGATATGTAAATTAGCATTTAAAGTGTTTTCGGCATTCCTGTATCTTAGTGCAGTTAATCAATCTCCCAGTTGCTCAGCCATACAAATGAATTAAGGGGGTAAGTTTTTAAAGAACCTGTAGTGCTGCGTCGGTGGGAGAGTATAGCAAGGTAATTTAGTGTTATCAACTGAGTTGATAACGTAGATTGGCCACCGTAAAGAGTTTCACAGCTGACACTGTTTCGAGCCTTAGCCCTTGGTTTCGCTCTGACGAATGGCTAACGCTCGAAACGTCAGCTTTGAAGCTCTTTGCGGTGGCCAATTTACGTTATCAACTCAGTTGATTATACTAAATTACCCTGTCTCAGCCATACAATTTGATAAAATTTAAGTCTTATGTTCTAATCATTTTTTTAAAAGCTTATTTTATATAAACATATATATACATGTAATTTTCTTATGATTGGTTTTATGTTTAAGGACAATTCAAGTGCTTGTAAAATTTTTTCTCTTTTTCGGCTTGTGTGCCCTCACTTTAACCAATTCTTTTACATGTTTGTGGGAAAGACCGCAACGAAGTGGTCTAATTTAACAACATTAGGATGTCCTACATCCTCCCTCTACGTTTCTGCTTCCCAGAAGTTGTAGTATTTGCATGAAGTTTTATCAGGTATGAAATAAATCATAGTATGTAGCTTGAGATTTAAAATTGTTTTATGTTATTTTCATACTAGGTTTTGGTAAAAAATGAGATTTGTGGCTTGAACTACCTGGAAGTCATGATGAGGGATGGTTATATACCTCTCGAAGCTTTAGGATCCGGTTTTCCTTTGACAATGGGAGTGGAGGCTGCTGGAACAGTCGAAAAAATCGGTGCAAATGTCATTGGTGTAACTAAAGGAGAGAGAGTGGCTTATGCAGTTGTTGGATCTGGTAAATAAGTGATTTACACATGGATGCTTTAGAATGCTCTTGAGTAATCGCCTCGTATATCTGATCACCTCTCATAAGCAACCATTTTCTAGAATACCAAAATTGTGCATGTGAGTGCAGAGACGATGGGTCGACCTAGGTTTTTAGGTTTGTGGATTTTAGGTAAAAAGTAAATATACGAAGTGTACTGTATTTACACGAAACCTGAACTCTACGGTCGCTACATTGACGACTGTATCAGCGCTACCTCTACCAGAGTGGAGCCCACTCAGTTTATAAGCGCCATCAATTCCTTTCACCCGGCTCTGAAATATACATGGGAAATTTCCGACACTTCTTCGGCTTTTCTAGACATCAAAATATCAATTGAGGGCAACGTTCTATGCACTAGTGTTCACAACAAACCTACAGATTCACATAGTTACTTGTTGTATTCATCTTCACATCCACCACACGTCAAGAATTCCAAACCTTTTTCACAGTTTCTCAGACTTCGTCGTTTATGAAGTGACGAATCTGATTTTTCCGAAAAAATCACAGGCCTTGAGCCAGTTTTTCGATAAGCGTGGCTGTCTTGTTTCTGTCATTTAAGTAGGCCACCACCGCGCTCAACAAATTGATCGACAGTCAGCACTACAAACGGCTGAGAAGGAAAATACTGATCACATTCCATTCACTATCACATTTCACCCTCACAATCACGCAGTTAAATCTATCATTCTTAAAATCTTTAAATTTCTTAATAACGATTCAGACTGGTTCTATCTTTTCGCAACCTCCAGCAATTTCATTAAAATGTGACAAAAACAAAGGCAACTTTTTGGTCACTGAAGTTCATTTCAAACCAATGACCAACCTGGAACTTTCAAATGCGCTCGCTCACCATGCAAAACTTGTCCTTTCATTCATAACGTAGAGAAAATGTCGGGACCTAAGAGATCCATGAAGATCACTGATCACTTCACGTGTTCCTCCGCCAATGTCATCTACTTCATAACTTACGCTTATTACGAAAAGTTATACATTGGTGACACAGGAAGACGACTGGGTGACCGATTCTGAGAACACCTTCGCGACGTAGAAAGAAATGAAAAGGACGCATCCAAACCAGTCACGAGACACTTTAATCTCCCTAATCATTCTAAGCAGCATATAGCAGTTTGCGGCCTTTCCCTTCATCTAGGCAGTTCAGAAAACCGCAAAACTCTAAAACAAAAGTTTATCTTTCCAATCTGCACTCTTAATCTTCACGGTATCAACGAGCGCTTTCCATTCAATCAATTTTTTTTCGTCGCCATATTCCCACTAATAACGTAGCTCCATTTCCTGCATACAAACCCACACACAACCCAAAATTCCTCCGATCACTCTGACGAGGGGCTAACGCTCGAAACGTCAGCTTTTAAACTCTTTATGGTGACCGATTTACTTTATCAACTCAGTTGATAATACTAAATTACCAAGCTTAAACTAGTTAGGTTAACTGTTTTAACTTAGAAGTGCTCCTATGGTACCTACAATAGTTTCTTGATCATTTTAATCATCAGGAGCACATGCTGAATATGCAAAAGTGTCAGCATCAAGACTGGTAAAAGTTCCAGATGAGATTAGTTTTGAGCAAGCTGCTACATCAATGATTCAGGGGTTGACTGCGCATTACCTGGTGCATACAACTGGCAGAGTGAAGCCTGGTGACAAGGTGCTGATTCATGCGATCTCTGGAGGGACTGGGTCTCTTGTGTGTCAAGTGGCAAAGAACAGAGGTAAAAAACAGCATCAGGTTTGCAAATTGGAGATTTTTAGTGGAACCTCTTTTATGGGGTTACTCTCTTGTAAAAATAGCAAGACAGTATCACTCCCAAGTACTCTTCAAGTGACGCTCTTTGAAGGTAGTTCGTAGGGAAACATGACATTGAATAGTGAGCTTTTTAGTAAGAAAAATCAAAGCATTATGCATGACACTCTGGAAGTTTACTTTCATGCTAGTTGACTTGGTGAAGTCAGTTGTGCGAGGTAAATGAAATAGGCTCCTCTAAATTTGGGTTGGACTGCTGTTTGTCTATCTAAGTTATTTAGTCAATTGTTCACTCATTTTAAATAAGATTTAAAAAGTGAAATTAATTTGAGGCCAAACAAAGTTCGTTAATTATTTCAATTTCAAATTTTTTCAGGAGCGTTTGTGATTGGGACAACCAGCACTGAGGCCAAAGCAGCAAAAGCAAGGGAGGCCGGTGCTGATGAGGTTATTCTTTACTCACAGAAAGATTTTGCAGAGGAAGTCAACAGGATAACTGATGGAAAAGGGGTTAATGTTATTTACGATGGTATTGGAAAAAAAACTTTTGAGAAAGGTATGATGTGGATCACATATCAAAAAGGATATTTGATTGATCTTTTTGGCTCAAGTAAAGGCGCAATTCTCTGACTTATCTCAAATCAAAATTAGAGCAGTGGAGTTGTCTACCATATATTGTATGATGAGGTGAATTAAGAACGAAACACGGCTCTAACTTATGAGGTTTTGGAGGACAGACTCACAGAATAATGTCACCATTAACAAGATTGTGCTTGATATTTACATAAAATAAATATATTCCATGTTTCCGTGCCTCTATTCAGTTTTAGGTCACAGAAGATACCATGATGTGGGAAGAACATCAGTGGCAGTCTTGGCTTTGCCTCCTCTGCCACAATTTTTTTTACTTCCTTCATTCTGAAGTCTCTGATTTATTACTGAGCAGACACACACACGGCAATTAACTTGGAATATATTTCCTAAAGAGGTTTTGTCCGATGTGATTCAGCAACAAATCACAAATTAATCAAAAATGACTCTTTTGGGATATAAATAGGAATCCTAACGTAAGAAATGAACTCTCAGCCAATTTCGATTTTCTAGCATTTGCACCTCGCCGTCTAATTCTCGCACATCTAGAATATTTGCATCACTTGAAAGCTTTTCAGTGCAGTTTTAAATAATATCTCGAGATAACAAAACCAGAGAAATCCCAATGGCCAATCAGAATTAAGTGTAACGTCATCATTAACCAATGAGAAGTCAGTGTATACAAGCGAAGTGCCAAAAGTGCTGGAAAACGCGGTTGAGCAAGTCGCGCTTGGTTTTAGTTTTGCATCCGATCGATCGAGTTGTAGACCCAAGTTTTTTGAACCAATCAGGGACGTTGTGAAGCAAAATAAATGCAGTCCTGGATTACTTTCATTACTCAATAGAGTCAATAGAAAACGGCTCTTATTTTTTTGTCACGCTTCTTTATCCCTTCTTTAAAAGCCTGCGATTAAGCGTTCTTTGACAGGATGAACCAAAGCTGGCGGGTGTTTCTCCAAAAATGCTTTTTTTACTTATTTTTCAAACCACTCCAAAACAATTTGACATACTTAAGTCATTGCATCTAAGAAACATGAATCATTGGTTAACTTTCGGATCATTTAAGTCATGTGGCAAACTGTCTTTCGTCAGTGATCTTCAGATTCATGAAAAAGTTAAAACTGCCATTTCGCGTTTCAAGCAGAGACAAAAAAAACACGTTCATAAATCACGAAAAAGCCCCTCTTAAATCGAAATAGGAATGTCACTTCATGGCTTTAATAGGTGCCACACATATCTCCAGCCTTCATGTCTTGTTTCTTTATAGACTTTGAATGTTTGGCTATCCAAGGAATCGTGGTATCTTTTGGACTAGTTTCTGGACCCCCGCCTCCAATTGATGTGGAGAAACTCGCCAAAGGTTCCTTCTCTATCTGCCGACCTATGTTGTTTCACTACATTGCAAACGAAGAAGATTTGAAGAAGCGTAGCTCTGAAGTCTTTGCCTGGATCAAGAAAGGCGAAGTAAAGTTTGGCGACTTTACTGTATTACCACTGTCCGAGGGAAAGAAAGCTTACGATTTGTTGGGAAGTGGAAAATCTACAGGAAAAATCTTGATGAAGCCTTGAACTGAAAATATTTAAGCACACTATCCAAAGAAATGTTCATTATTATCACGTTGTCGGGCATTGTAGTGCATTTTGTATTTAATCCTGCTGAAATAAGCCAATGAAAATAAGAGTCAAACAATCGTACGATAAGAGCAGCAAATTGAAATCGAGAAGCCATAGATATGTTCGCGCCCTATTCCCGCAGAGTTGGTGAAAGAATTGAAAGCGATCTTTTCAAAGCCCAAATGATATCTGAAATCGTAGAATTCAACGAATAATCAATCTTCTGAGCTAGGAGAAGAAGATTTATAAAAGTGAGAAGCTGATTCCGTCCCCAAAAAAAACATACCTTTTAGGGTTCAGATTGCTGTGTGTATTTTTTTTTTTCAGTTTTTATTTTCTCAATGCCCTTCAAAGTGACAATAATAGTAACAGAGTGTATTTTCTTGAGCGGCTCGGGCTAAAATGAGCCTGAGTCGGGCCCAAAACATATTTACGCCCGCGAACATAACCTCTATCGTTTTAGTAGATTAAAGGCTGATACAAACTGCATCAAATGCTAACGTACTTTTAATCAATATATATTAATGCACGGGGTTTTGAGATGTCTCTAAGGACAAGGGGGATATTAAGGGTTTTGAAATTTATGCAAGAGCCACTGAAGGCAACTTTATGAGTCTGGCGATCAGACCAGTGTTTGTTTTACTCTCTGCTGCATATCTTGTTACGCTTGTTGTATCTTGTACCAATAAACAAGACTCTGGCTCCTAATTACATAATATCTAATACTCATTTCGGTGTGAATATCTTTTAACCTAACATTTACTGCTGGAAGGATTTGCGCGAGTGTACAGCGCTTATAAAGGAGGGTTCTCCAGTTTACACTGAACAGCTTTTTCAGTGTTGAAAAAAATGCAAATCAAAGGTCGATTACCTGATTTTTTTAAAATACTCTTCATTAAACACTCAAAAGGACTTCGTTAAGTTCGTACTGAACTGTTCACGCAAACCCAAAGTTTCCATTTGGAACTCAACCCTGCTCACATACGTTATGTTGAAGTTGAAGTGTAGTGTCGTAAGAGACGGTGAACGCATCAGGCCATTCGCGAAAGTCTAACTAAAAATGTAAATTTAAACGTCTTCCCCCAGCGTTGCCGTCCTGACTGCTTATGGTCTCTAATGACATTAAGCAAGCGTCAAAACGTCGTTATTTTCGAAACAATTTATTGGAAAATATCTCAAACCTCGATGGTTTTAAGTTTACGTCCTTCAATTTTTCAGCAGTGTTTTATCGTCTAATAATATGCACGAGAAAATTACTCAGTTTTTATTGGTTAAGATAAATGCAGTTTTCAGGTAATTCAATGCAGAAGAGGGTTATTTCATGTATTCTATTAATACATAATCACAACATTTTTCTCGTTTAGTTTGGAATAAATAAGCACTTGTTAATTTCGTTAGACTTTGAAAAAATTTACTCGTGCTTATTTATTCCAAATTGCACTCGAAATCATGTGATTACCTATGCAAATTATACAGTAAATCTCTTCTTGACAATTTATAGAGCGTGAAAATCCAAAAGTTGTAAGGTGCTTTACAGGATTAAAAGTAGGAATAAAACAAACAAGAATGCATCTACCGTATTTCCTCGAATAAGCGCCCTCTGTAATGAGCGCCCTTCTTTGACAAGTGCTTCCCTCCCCTGTCAATCTCCTAAATAGTAGGGATAAAAGGAAGACCTGTTTCTATTGCACTTTATTTATATTTATATCTCTTTAAGCTTCAACTACAGCGGGATCATTGCAGGAGGCTAATCAGCGCCCACTCCGCTCGCTCCGCCCGCACTACCACCGGGAATATCCGATGACATAATGCAAGACTTGAAATCCATTGCTGACAGAAATGTTAAATCCAGTCCAACCACTGGCTTTTTGCTTCTCTTTCGCATGGAGTCGTACCAAGATACTGAATGAGTCAGAAAAAAAATTGTCGTAACAACCTAAACTTTGAATTCAGCGCGATCCTTTGTTTAATGTCAATCAAACACCTCTCCCTCCCCTCCAACACAATAAATCTCTTTTTGTACGAACGAATGTGTAATTTGTAGCAAAAGATAATACCGAGATTTTTTCTTGTATGCTCTTCAGTGCTCTGGAAGTTTGAAAGTGAGAGGTGAAGAAATAAGTGATGGCCTTTTACGCAGCTATTACGCTGTTTTCAGGTTCCCACGCGGGGTAAATCGATTGCAAGCTCGTTACTTTAATAAAGACGGACTTTGAGCAAGCAGTTTCATTTTCTTAAAGAGAAGAGGGCGTGGAGGAAATGAAAAAGGCACAAC